ATATATATATATATATATTATCATGGTTGGTTTTAAAGTTTACTTGACACATTAAACAAATTATTAAACACCTTGTCTAATAGTCTAGTTGTGCAATTGGGAAAAGTTGTGCATGATCTATGATATTGTTCATTTCTGTCGATGATATAAAAATCGTCTTGTTTTGGATCATATTTCTTACTGTGAACAAATTGACATTTTAAAATTGTTCAAATAAATGTATTTTTATATGGAAGTATGTTTTTTTTTTTTTTTTTTCCAATATGCACCTACACTATGTGTGGTAATGGAAAATGTATGATTATATTATGGGTTTTTTTTCCTAGCAAAAGGATGCCAGGACTGGCATTTTATTTGGCTGTCAGTGAATGAGAAATGTTATTATGGCACAAATCTGAAAACAAATGGCTTCATGAAGCTTTGTTTATGCAGCATTGCCACAGTCTTATCTGAAACACAGGTGCCTTGTAGCAGCCAGTGTATCAGTCTCAACGTACCATTTTTAATGATCCCACAAAGGCTCTGAAGTTGGCTTTAATGGGCAGAAGTGTGATAACACCCATGTGAAGATTCCCATCTGACAATTTGCCGAAGCTATCACTCGATTACTCAAGTTGCTAGTTACACATGGCTCCTATTTAATGAGAACAATTACTGAGGCTGTAGTCAAATGATGAGAAACAGATGATTTTGGTAAGAAGACCTACTGGCAGTAGGATTGCCTCCCTCTCCATCCTCAGATTTAGAAAGAAAAAAGCCTTGCACATTTAAATGGCAAAGAGACAGCAAGGTTGGAGGACAGAACTGTGTGGTTGATTGGCTGAAATAACTCTTGACACACAAAGCTGCAGCAACAAGGCCCTTGTTCCTCTATTTTGCATTTTCTTTGCCACTTCAACAGCTTCATATCACACACCAATCTTCATCACTCCAACAGCCATCAACGCCCCGAGAGTCTTATTCTCGCTCCTGCTCTCAGTCTGAATTAACACCAAGGCCTTTCTCTAACTGCCCTGGGATGTTCAGCGATGCACAATCAAATTGAACGGTGACAATCACTAATGGATGATTCGCTGCAGCCAGACACTGTAATGTAGCACTCAATGAAAGGAAACATGCTCATCAATTTCACACTGTGGCTAACACAATATTGCTGTGGGTTATTGTTGTGGGACATTTTTCATTCAAGGTGCTACCCAGTCTGGGAAATCTTCCTTGATTGTGTGTGTGTGTGTGTCGATTTCCTGGCGAGGGGATAATTAATTTGTTGCACAGTGGGAGAGCCAAGGAACCAGCCCATTAGAATCACTCCAGGCTAGTTGGTGCATTTCATTGTCCTCCCGCTCAGCCCCATTGTATCATGCAAATGGCCGCACTGAAACTTTGAGCATGCTAAGCAACACTTGTTAGAGACAAAGCAGAAAAAGCAACAAATTCAACAAAGTGGGAGTGCCCGTTGATCAAAACTACCATTTTATGGAGTGGAGTTGAGATGGAGTCATAGTTTTGCCCTTCATGAAGTCCATTGAATAAGTAGTTTAAAAAGTCAAACACAACTAACAGCTGTGGTCGACGTGGATTTTAACGAAGCTGTTTCTGCTTTTAGAAATTAGCGTAACAACCAGCCACACTGCATTAATGTTGTGTTTCTGCTTTATTCTGCAACCATGGTTACTTCTGCAAGATTAAATGAAAAAACACAAACAACCCACTGAATAATCACATCACTTGTAATGAATGAGTTGTCTAGCCTCGGAGAAACGGAAAATACTGCATTTCACATTTAATTGTTTCCTAATTAAGTATCTTAAAAGAGAAAAAAAAACATCATGCAAATATGTTCACAATCATATTCACAGGTTGATTATTGGGACTTAACAAAAAGTTTGTTAAATATATAACAAGCACAAACTAAAACTCTTCTGATGATCGCTGCAGAGAGACGGCGTTCGTCTGATGACGAGCATGAGTTTATTCATGCTTCAGGCTCAATCGCAGGATTGGAGGGAAGAAGTATGGAGAAGCCTCTAGTCAATTTGTCTTACTGACATATGATGCTGACAACACTTAAAAAGAAAAGTTTGATGAAGAAGAACTTCACTACTTATCCCAAAGAGACAGCAGCTGACCAAAGCTCTGTGCGTAGGCTGAGCCTTGTTGACAGGAGATACGTCTTCTCTATCTGTGTCCCTCGCAGCGAAGGAGATGAACAAATCTGCAGCCTTTTGTCCGCTGAGTCCTTTGGGGCAAACATAGAACAGACTGCAGGCTCCTCTGCATAACTGTAAACTGAGGAAATGCCATGTGGAGATGCTGGTATCATCATGGTAGATAAAACAAAAAAAGTCCAAAGTAAATACAAGGTGTTTTAACACAATCTAAAAATAAACAGAGAGCACGTTTGCATTCAAACCTGGTGTAGTTTCAATGTCATCAGCACAACCTTCACAGTGAGATCAGTTCAAACAAAAACAACAAAAACATGAGAGATATTTTGTAACTGTGTCAAGGAGCAAAAGTCTTTTAACTAAATCCAGAAGACAAATGAATGGCTAATAAATCTTGAGCTACTAATTAAAATACAGATGTGGCTCTGTAGCACTTTTTTACTGCATTCCAGCCATTGTTTGCTGCTGTATCATAGCTTCTTTGTTAACACAGGAATTATTCAGAACATTTACATGTAGCTCTCTTAGTGGAAACCCTAATGTCCAAGAAATGCTCTGGGGCAACAAATAAATACGAAGCACAATTTTAAAAGTAATTTCTTTGTTTAACAGTCAAATTGACTGGAAAACTATCAAACATAAGATTGCTGCTGCAATAACAATCCATATGCATGATTTAGATAAGACAGAAGCATTGTGTATGATCTGTTTTTACGTCGTTTTAACATTTATGAGGATAGCATTCATTCCAGAGTCACTAAAATGACTTATGTGAGTCTCCTGAACACGAAGGATTGCTCAGTTTCTCATCTGTGTATACCTATCTAGTATATCCACTGTGATTTTCTGTTCTTATTTTTGTTATGACATGTATAACATTTTGAGCGGCAGGCTTGATGGAATACACAGATCTGGGACTAGGAGCTCTCCCTCATCTCCTGGATATTGCAAGCTTTCATTTGATGAGAATCTGGTGATAAGATTTACTGATTGTACAGAGCTTAATGAATCTGCTTCCCTCACTGTCTTACTCAGATAAGCTATTTCCACATAGTTAAACAAAGTAAACTTCACAAACACAAGCCCAAAGAACAGAAATTGGAGCACATTTTGAGATATTATTATACATCACTCCTGTTCAGTTGTTTGATATTTTCATATTTGAGCAGACACAGCTGTAACCAGCTGAGACAAATAACTTTTACTTCTTCCATTATGGATGTACATTATTTACATAAAAAGATCAATGTCCTTGTAAAAATACAAGTATTTTCAGTCAAAAAGTGTCCCTTTTCAAGAAGCAAGTATAAATCTGTACAGTCTCCTCAGAGGGATTAGGCAGCACAGTGTGAACTGGTCCATCCATGCATGGGTAGCAAAACACTCGAGACCATTCATTGTGACCATGGTTTCATAGCTTGCTGGAAGTAACTGCCAAAGAAGATGTATTGCTTTCGAGTCGGTCATAGACTCTCAACATTAAAACACATGGGGCGCTTCATCAGAGAGCTTGATGTCTGTGCGAGATGGCAGGTAGCCTGGCAAAGGAGAAAAAAGGAAAGAGACAGAGGAGGAATTTTATGTAGCTATTTGCATACGGGTGTATTTTTGCAGGCAAACACATTTATCTTGGATGGGTCGATTGTTTATCTATGGGTAGAGGTAAATCAACTGGAACCTCATAGATATTTCTTGATGAAAATGCTTTCACCACTCCGCTACTTTCCTGATGCACTAATTATTTTATTGGGTCAAATAATTCACCTAGACATTCTCATCACTTTAGCTCGCACTTGATTGTGCTTCACTTATCTGTGAATACTAATATCTTACTATGACAAACTCAGGTTGGCAAATACATAAATATACAGAGCATAATAATAACTGTATTTTGGCAACTTATATGATAATTCAGGGGCAGGAAGAGTAGCATCAGCACTTAACAAAAAGTGAATATGTAGTATATCTTCCCTGTCAGCCTTAACTTGTTCCTCGTTGCCACTGCAGTTTTTAATGTACTGTCACAACTTCTGCAACAACTTTCTTTGAAGTACTAAAGGATCAGTTCACACATCTTACACAACCCTTGTGATATCCAGCGACAGAGATCGTTTTATGTACTGAGGTTGTGAGGACACAACTCAAACACGGTGAATTAAATGCGGTTTGTAGTAAAGAATTACATTTTAAAAACTCCACAGTAACATGCCTGGTCCTGGTTAAGGTACGGTCACATTAGCCATCTGTTCAATCAAATATGATGTCCCAGTTTTGGTGTGGTAATGAACAAAACTGAAAAGAGCAAATATCAACGTAATATTGAACAAAAGAAGTTGATGGCATAATTGTTGGTATTTAGATTTATAAATATATCATGCATAACATTTGGCACGAGACACTGCTATATATTAAACATAAAAAAACAGATATCTTCCTTTAAGAAATACACAACACAAAAAGAAATACATCAGTTCTAACATTATATGTACTTTCAGTGACATTTTTAGGTGCAAAACTAAAAAAAGCAGAGGAAAAAAAAGAAACTCTACCAGCTTAAAGTTTATCCTCATAAAAGGCTTTATTCCTTAATGTCCCAAGCTTTCTCCA